ATATTAATAGTTTTATTGACATATAAATATCAATACATGATATTTATTATAATAATATTCTGTTTAGCTTTCGCATCACAGCGGGAGTCAAGTATACATATATAAAATATTTTGGTTTTTTTCTTTTACGGTATCTTTACTGCTTTTATATATTTATTCTTTGTCATCACTTAACAATAAGATATTTATGCTACTATTGGGACTATATTGTTTAATTATATATATAGCATTGTGGGTCACCTACAAAATAAATAAATTTATGTATTTTTGTAGTAACATGTTTTTTATGCAGAACGTTCAGGGGAATACAGCTTTAAAATATTAATCTTGCCCACAGAAGAAGAAAATAACAAATTATGTGTCATCGTAGGAAACTCTAATATTACTTTTTTAAACTAACCAGCCTCTGTTATTTATTACTAACATATAGGTATATACAAGTGAAATAATGTATAAAATTGGTTGTTTCTTTTCAGTTCCATTAGAATGAAAACATAAAATCTTTCTTTTTTGTAATATAATATACCTAATATTTAGATGCAACCGGACACGATGTCTGCTTTTTAGATATAAGATAGCCTTTGTCTGTTTGTCATGATACAATGTAACATCAGAGCAAAATGATATTAATAATTAATCATTTAAATTTTAACATTTTAATTGGGCATTTTCATAATGTAAATGTAACAAACAGACAGACAGACTTTGGCATTTATAACGTTAGCACGGATATAGATTTAGTTATTTTTAAACTTTCGTGTTTAATATACATTATTTATATTATTAACCGGGTCCGTTCGACTTGTGTCGTGAACTTTGTGATGGTAGAAAAATAACTGCTGCGGCACCTATCTACATTCACATTGCTATTACTCCAGTCAGCTCGAGAACAAGGCTAGTACAAGAAACGTCGAGAGTACAAGAAAAATTATTCGTGTTAAGACTCGGTTAATAATATAAATAAGATATAGATTTATACAAGTTTATAAAAAAACCCATACGACAACATAGTGAGTGTTAACCTTAATATCTCACCTTTTATTATATTAATTAGGTTCGATTAAATTAAACCGACTTATCGATAGACGGTTAATCACCGTCCAAATGATTTAACCGACTGTGACATTAATGATAGTGAAGACATTGAACTTGGCACGAAATGCAATTAACTCGAGATCGTCGGCTGATATCGTTTGTAAAAGGAATGTACTACCAACTTTATAAATATTGTATATCGGATATATCAACACGCTAGTTCTCTTAAGAGGATGGCAGAAATACGGCTAGCAAAAGCAGAATGTCTTTCTTATGGTAAAATAACTAACGCACCTGCAATTCCTCTGGTGTTGTGGGTGCTCATCATTCACCATCATCATTTCAACCCGAAAGACATCCACTGTTGAACAAAGGGCTTCCCCAAAAATCTCCACGACGATCGGTCCTGCGATCCAACGATCCAGTGATCTTGACTGGATCGTCGGTCCACCTTGCGGTCCGCGGTCGCCACTCGAGGATTGTCCTATGAGCTATGTGCCCTGCTCATCGCAACTTCAGTTTCGCAATTCTTCAGGCTATGTTGGTCACGCTAGTTCTTCTGCAGGTCCTCATTTCTGATGCGATCACTCAGAGAAACTCCAAGTTTAGCCCTCTTCATTGCCCTCTGAGTGACGCTGAGCTTACTTATGAGGTCCGTAGTTAGTTACTAAGCATGTAAGTAGTTAACTAACTTTATATGTATATAACTATATATATTACAATGACGTTTTCAAACAAGTTATCGCAGTCTCATTATTACTGCTCCAATAAATATCACGTCACGTCTCAGGTTAACTTATTCCGTTATTATTTTTTTACGATAAATAATGACATTCTTAAGTAATAATACCAACATGTACAATATAAACATGACGTTTTTTAACTCTTGTACGAGCAGTTTTTTGTAAGTGTTACAATAACTGTGTGTACTAACTGTTATAAAATTTATATTATATATTAAGTATCAGTATCTGTATTATATGTAGAAGGCCGCCTTTTTCTCTCAGTAATCATAAGTCCACAAATATTATCAAACATATTTTTGCACATTATCTTATGAAACATTTACAGTGTTTCTTATTTTCTGAAGTCCATCGAGTGATTTCCAATGATAGTGACAGTTCTATAGATAAAGGTTTATAAAGAGAGTAGACAGATTTGTCTGATTATAATAATTATTTACATTCACCGTCTTCTCCACTCGACCCGAGACCTGGATATGTGTAATAGTAAAATATCAGGAACTCATAAATACCATATTTTACTTTTATTCTGTCCAAGATACTAATTGTAAGGTTATTTTACAAGGTATCCAACAAAAAATATACAGTGCAAACAATAATCTTATCTTTATTGAAATTTAATTAGGATCTTTTTACATTAAAATTTTATTTGGAGTATTTAATTGCGTTTTAATTATATGAAACTTGAGAAACTCCATTACAAGAGTAAAGTAATACAAGCTGAATTAAAAAGCTTTTAAGTCATTGTGAGACTCCAACTACATATAAGTATTCATTATAAAAACAAAACACTTTCACTGTTTGCATTATAATTCAAATGTTTGTTTTGTCTGACACATTGACACAAATTGTAAAAAGCGATTATTCATAATTATTTACATTTGCCTAATCTTGTGAAATTGTACAAGGTTAAGTACTAAATAAATAATAACATTAATTTATTTATTTGTCAGAATATGGTACTTACGTAAAATTTACAAATGAATGCCAATTAAAAAATATATATGTAAATGACTTATGCAGTACTTTGCTTATACTCAAGAATTTATTCATTAGCTTAAGTTTGTCGATTAAAATAACGTCAACGTCAATTAAGCATTGGCCAAAGTATTATACGGAAAAATTTAAGTTGTAATTGGTTTAACACAAATATACATCAAGGAAGAGAGGAAGGTGAACTCCAAGACACAAGAGATTGATGGAAGATCGTGGAAAATGACAAGTGCTCTACCGACAAGAGCGCGGCTCTTAAATTATGAATGAATGAAATCATCATCTGCTTCTTCCTTATCCTATTTTTTTGGGGTCGGCGTAACATCTTGTTCTTTTCCATTCATCCCTGTTTACTTTCATCTCGTTATTTACTTCCTTTATTAACATATCATCTTTCAAACAGTTCATCCATCTTATTCGATTTAACACCAATATTATCTTCACAGACGATTACTCTTCAACTTCTTCAACACAAACAAAAACAATAAAGAAATATTATATAAAATTCTTTGCCTATGAATACACCGCGTGTATACCTTAAAATCATATAACCAGTTCACACGCGCTAATTAATTCAAAATTAATATTAATAAGATGTTTTGCATGCATTTCGCTAAGTGTGTCACTACTCAGTACTTGCTAATTACTATTTGAGTAAACATGATTTCTTTTATTTGCCCAATGACTGTTGGGAGTCACCTGTTAATTATCCGATTATGAAGTGAAAGTGAAGTTATGTATTAAATAAATATTAATGTTTTTAAGTGCAAAAACAATGGTGAGTAATAATGAGAAATGTATATAATCAAATATAGTAAATTCTCAGTAAGGACGCATGACAACTTAGACCTCAGGAATGGATGAGTGATCATATGATGTTTTTTTATACTACTATGGTCGGAAAACAAGCATACGGCCCATCTTGTGGTAAATTGTTACCGTAGCCTATGGACACCTGAAGCACCAGGGGTGTCACGTGCGCGTTGCCGACCCTTAAGAAACCTTAATATACCCTTCTTGAAAAACCCCATGCTGTAGTCTCGTGAGAAAACCTCGGCAGGGAGTTCATTCCACAATCTAAGTGGAGGAAGCTCCTCTGAAACCGCATGATATATTCGTGCTGCTGTTCATGTATGTAGGCGATTTCTATCTGGTGGGCCATCAGCAAATTTAAGTTTGTAATTGATTTAGTTATATCTTCTTTGTCCTATTAACGATGAGACCTAAACACACACACAGACAATATTTTATTATTACACTTTTTTTACTTTCGTAAAACATATCCGTGCTGCTGTTCATTTAGGCGACAGTAAGCGATTTCCATGCTGGTGGACCATCAGAAATTTAAGTTTGTGATTTATATTATATCTAGTTAGTCTTATTAAAGACAAGATCCATATGAAAACAAAGTAATTCTTAAGCAAGCAAGTTAGCGCAACGGTCAGTCAGGAAATGAACATGCTTACCAAAAAAATCCGAAATGTATAACAAATTTACGAGGAAAAATCTACAAGCAAGTACTAGATTTATTTCCCTAGTTCAATGACAAATGTGCGTAAAAAATAGTACCAAGATGGCTACAACGGCGGGCGACTACATGAAATATGCATCGGCGGCATCTGCCACTTATAAAGTAAGCTGATACGCAGTTTATATCTTAAAAAGTGGCGACAAATTCACTACGAATCCTTTTTACACCAGTTTTTTCTTTATCACATATTATTAATTCGTAACAAACCACTACCTTTTCTATTAGGTACAGATTTCTCCGTATAAGGATACGGTTAGCTTACTATTAACATCCTAGCTATGTAAATTGCCATTGCCAATCACAATACAACCGAAACACATATTACAAAGCAGCCTACTTACTAGATGACATAGATGAGCCTCAAGTACCAATGTAGACGACTGTTATCAACCTCATGAATATCTATTACGTAAACTATTGTAATAGATAATAGGCACACCGCCTTACTGCCGATATTTGTAGTTATGAATATGATCCCAGCCCGATACTAATGTATCGATCTGGGTCTTTCCTACCTAAATTTTTATTTATTTAAAAGAAAAAGGAATTTAAGTATTCGTATCAGTTGTATGGGTACTACCATAATACAAGCTTATTATTTAGTATATATTAATAATTATAGATTGAGACTAGAAGGCTCTGTGTGTATGGTTATTATTATAATATGTACAATTTGTTTATTAAAAAATGGTAGTTACCGGGTGCGCGGGCGGCATGCATGTGTCGATCCCGTGCGCTCGCGGCGCATCACCGCACGTGCAGCATACGCTACACACACAACCTGCAAACAAACAAACAAATCAAATTACACAAAACTAAAATATTTGAGGTAATCTCCGATACTACTGACCCGATATGAAAATTCTTTTCTTCTGGGATAGCTCATTTAACAAAACAAACCAAAAATCATCAATTCTCGATGGAAATTTTAGCCGCTAATGAAATTCAAGTTTTTTATAATAATTTAGTTTTCAATAGAGTAATATCACGCTATGAATAATAAAAGTTGATTGTTTTCAAATTTATATATTTTAATTTCATTTATTTACGAGCACGATACGTCAGGTTAATCTAGTTTAGTCTATAAATGTGATACTCTGTAAATATGCGTGCAGAAATCACGTAAAAATATTCTTCATACAATTATTGTTTGTGTCAGTGTATTTATTGGTGATAAAATGGACTGTATGTGTGAGCTTAATGAAACAATGCATAAATAATGGTAAAAAAGTAACAGTGAAAAAGCGACAATTCTAAAACTGTAAAAAAAAGACATTCAAAATCGATACATACATAAATAAATAGAAAAGAGTTTACAACAGTACTTTTAAACCGAACAGAAACAAAATAAAGATTGACGGTCGTATTCAGAAAGTAATACCATGAATTAATAAATGCAATGGTGAGTCAAGCGAATAAACAGTAAATAAGTTTTTTTTGTATCCTCAATTCGGTATAGAATAGGTACTTACGTACACACAAACAGTGGCGCGTGCGCTTAGATAACTGTACGTGACATTCATTAATGCTTCTACTGCGTCATCCCGCATCGAAATCTGATACATACAGACAGATCTTTCCTTCATTATATTTAAAATGAAGAAGAAAGAAAGAATGAAAAATATTTCTTCAGTGCTTTTCAACAGTATTACAATATTAACAATAAAGGAATACAAAATAAAAAATTCTATCTGCTATCTGCATCCATCTTACTGCGGCATTAGAGTTGTACGGAAAAAATTTCTTATTGGTATTATGCTGTATCACATCATTTGTTCGAAAAAAGCCATATAAAATAATTTTTTTAGAACTATTTTTAATGTTGTTGACCGCAGATGTTCTACAACTACAACATAAGGCAAACCTGACTGTGTGACCTGTTATAACTTTAGCTTTACTTTTGTGTAATTCGAATGACAAGCTGATGACTTAACATATATACATGAACTACAGCATTCATATCACGTTATCATGTGATACCCGTGATACTCATGCGTTGCCATTCTAGAGGACTAAGATGTTATGCTTCTATGTAGTATGGTGGCAACGTGGGGGTTTCGAACCTCAGGGCGTCGTAATACGCTTTAATAATATTATAAAACAATGTAATAGTTATAATTCATTTGTATTATAAAGTATGTATAGATATATAATAATAATATTGTAAAAACATATTGTTAAACTTGCAATGCTTTGCAACAATAATGTTAGACCATTTTTTAAAGATTTGCAGTTCGGTAATAATAAAACATATAAATGTTATTGCTATTCGTTCGCAAACACACACTTAGGAAAAAATTACGTAGATACTTAACTCCAGATGAGAAGTCAAAGAACTGAAAAAAAAAACATTTCCTCGTACGAGAGCGCTAAACGTACTTTTTGCTGGTAAATTTTCATCACAAAAAGATCGTTACTCAACTAACAATAGAAAGTACAAATTCCCACAAATGGCTGCCAGAATCGGCTCTAATCAATGAAATGGCGAGATATGTCCGTCGATTGTCGACAATTCCGTTCAATTTGTCGTCACACAAAGAGAAAGAACTGTGGAGACAATACGTGGCCACTTTAAAATAATAAGCGCTATTTGCGGTGTGCAAATTATGCTCGTTTTCGCATAACGACGAACACACAGACACAAAGATTATCCAGTAAAATATAATATTAATTTTCACTTTCATATTTATTTTGGAATGATAATGAACGAACGAATGATTTCATAAATAAATGGAGTTTGCAGCAATATAAGTCAGTTTCACTTTCTTTATCTAGGAATAATATTGTATAAACGAATGAGGTGCTACCATCATTCCATTAATCTCATGAATCAATTTCTATGTCTAATTATACATTGTACTAGCTGTAATCGTGGAGTATTACTGATTACAGTATTAATGTAGTGTTTTACCCCCATATTAAATAAACAATGAATACAGAAACAATGAATGCTATAGAAATCTGTACATAAATACCGATTTCTAGATATTACCTATTTATTCCATCTCCTTGCATAATTACAAGATTTGCTCCATATAAGAATATGAATATTCTGTTTTGCAATACATTTTATATGATTAAAAACAAAAATAAATATAATTTACTTGAAATATATTTGGTTGAGTTTATTGTTTAAATTTTAAATATTAAGTAATGTGAATATTTACACAGTTACAAGATTATCATATTATTGAATTTACATACAAGTATGTATATATTGTTAACTTTTTAATTGACGTTAAAAGTCATATTAAAAAAGTGGAATTAAAATGTATCAATAGCTAATTACTAAAGTCAGCGTAAGTTTAATATCTAATTTCATTTGTTCTTCTTTCGATCCAGCTGTGTGTCCACGAAATAATAATAGTCCGGTCAAGTGGTCAGAAGCTCTTACCTTAAATGTGGGGCGCTCAACTTGCAATTTTGCCGGTGCATCAAATGACAGACATACTAACACCATATTTTAATATTACACTTTTTGTACTTTCGTAAAACATAGAATTAAAACTGTAACTAGAAACGTTGGTAGCAGAAATTCCTGACATTATTTACAAAAGTAAAAATAAAAGATTTTTAAAGCGGTAAATGATAAATTAGAGTTTTTATATGGTTAATGTCTTTGAATAGACGGGACGGGAGTTTTCGTAATTGAAACTATCGACCCCATTGGGTATTATCGATAGCATATCAATTAAGGATTAACTTAAAAATTACGTGTTTTGGAATAACCAATGTAAACTGTTTTAGTTTTAGTTTTTTTTTTTTTTGAGTTAATTCAGTATTTCTGTTACTATAAATTTGATGTATCCTATTAGGCCACTTTTCACACGATCCTCCCTAAAAATATGTTAATGTTAGTGAAGACGAGCTGTTATCTAATGTGATCAACTATCTTTTTAATTTTCATAGAATATTTTCAATGTATTTAAGGCGTGTCTATTTAAATGCCACGCCTATGCCTATATGCCACGTTTCCTAAGCTATGCTGACACTTTATAGTTTTACTCTTTTTTTAGTACCGGCCGTATCAATTTTATCAATTTCATATTAATTTTACGCAGTTACTATTTGGTATAAATTACTAACTCATATTATACTTGCAATTAACCCAGATAAGCCTACTGTCCTATATTTAGGACAGTAGAAATAAAAAAAAATATCAGAATACCCTCTTTATCTAAGATTATTTAGTCTTATGATTTGCAGTAAGAAACGTGTCAGCTTTATTAGAAAAAATAAAAAGACAGTTATTTTAACAGTTTTTACCTTATATTTTACCTTATAAGTGTGTAATAAAAGTGCGTTGCAGACATTGCAAATGACAGGTATGTATAAAAAGTTATATTTTATTCGTGAGTTGTTTTTTTCTGTGTTAATATCTAGTTGATAACCTTAACTTTTGTACTAAATAAATATTCTAGCAAAATAATATAAATAAATTACGTATAACTTGTTACAAATACTAGCGTACTATATATAGGACAGTAGGATAATATACATGATTTTAGTACAATAATACAACTTTTTCTTTACAGACCGTTAGCTGCGCATGAAATTTTAGATGCTTTAGAAAATGTTTCTGATAATGAAGAAGATTATAGAGAACGACTGATATGTATTCTACCTCCTCCTGTTGATCCTGAATGTCTCACTGACGAAGATTCGGGTGAAGAAGATAATGTAACTTTGAATAATTTGCCACGAAACATTCTGCTTCAACCGGCTGAAGTAATGATTCAAGGGCAGATTATGGTGAGTGATACAGAAGAAGAACCTTCTGATTCTACAGGTCGAACTAAACGTAGGCGTACCTACGCCTACGTTTAGGCATGGAGAAAACGGGACTTGGCAAAAAATCCCGTGAATTGGCCAGATGTTCAAGGCGCTTGCCAAGATAAACGCCCAATTGAGTGGTTTGAAAACTTCTTAGATGAAGATGTTATTTCGTTGTTGGTGTCAGAGAGCAATAAATGTGCTGTCAAAAAGAATTTGCCTGGAGACATAACCACTGAAGATATGAAATGTTTCATCGGCATATTGTTGGTTAGTGGTTATTCATGGCTCCCCCGTAGAAGAATGTATTGGGAAAACTCCCCTGATACAAAGAATGAATTGATCAGCTCGGCTATGACTAGGGATAGATTTGACTTTATTTTTCGCCACCTTCATGTCAATGATAATCTGGATTTGCAAGACAAATACACAAAAGTACGCCCCCTAGTTACATTTCTAAATAAAAAGTTCTTAGAGTTTTCTCCTCTTGAAGAGCATTACAGTGTAGATGAGGCCATGATCCCCTACTATGGTAGACATGGCTGCAAACAGCACATAAAAGGTAAACCTATTAGGTACGGGTTCAAAGCTTGGGTTGGTGCTACACGGTTAGGGTATGTTTTATGGATGGAACCATACCAAGGTGCTACAACTATGTGCAATCCAATATATAAAGAATTGGGGCTGGGTGCAAGCGTTGTTCTCACTTTTTGTGATGTGCTGATTTCACGTGGCTTCGACCTTCCTTACCACGTAGTTTTTGATAATTTTTTTACTGGGACGCCCTTGCTGGAAGAGATAACAAAGAAAGGCCTTCGTTGCACTGGGACAGTTCGAGAAAACAGGACATCTAGTTGTCCTCTGATTACATCGAAGTTACTGAAAAAAAAGGAACGTGGTGCTGTCGATTACAGAACGACACATGACAACACGTTCATTATTGCTAAATGGCATGACAATAATATATTCAGTATTGCTTCAAATGCTGTAGGAATAAATCCTAAACAATCTGCCAAACGCTTCTCACAAAGTGAAAAGAGAAACATTGTCATAGAAGAACCACATATGGTGTCCATCTATAACAAATATATGGGAGGAGTGGATCGGTCTGATGAAAATATTTCACATTACCGAATTGGTATACGAGGTAAGAAATGGTACATGCCGTTGCTCACACACATGATTGATCTTGCCGAACATAATGCATGGCAGTTATATAAAATAAATCATGGAAAACTGGATCATCTTGGCTTTCGCAGAAGGGTAGCAATTGCTTTGATTGAATCAAACAGAAAAAATGCCAAAAGAGGGCCTAGCCGACCCTTCCATCATGAACATGCTGATAGTCGTAAAGACCAAATGAATCATCTGGTTATTCCTCAATCGATGTCGTCAATGTCACAAAAAATGTTTGACACGTTGCAAGAAATGTGATGTTGGAGTGTGTGTCAAGTGTTTTGAAACATATCATTCATAAATAGTGTTAATCTAGTAAATTACATATAACAATGGGTAATATAATCAATAGTTATCTAATAAACTACACTTTTTGATTACATTCTGTTTTGTCATAAATGGTCTTTTATTTCCTCTTATTATCCTACTGTCCTACATATAGGACGGCTGTTTCCCTGAAAGCCTTATACTTAATTTTTTTTTTCATAATTTTTTTATGTTGCATAAGATCTAATAAACTAAATAATGTAACTTTTTTCAAAATTTTCAGAAAATTTTAGTTTCAGGCTTATCTGGGTTAAAATGCCATTAGTAGACTCGAGATCCATGACCATAGACGATTCATTACTCAACCTGAAGATAGCTTTATTTCTTAATGTAATTGCGATCAAAGGTCAATAGACTAAAGTCCTTTAATGTCTTTTTTTATAGCATAACCCGCGGCTCACCTGATGGTAAGTGATTACCGCTGCCTATGAGCACTCGCTACACCAGGGGAATTGCTAGTGCGTTGCCGGCTTTTTAAGAAGGAATAAGCTTTTTTTCTAATTTCAGTATCGTGTCGCTTCGAAAATACCATTGCTAAAAGGTCATTCCACAATATATATTTGCGGAATCTGTTTTATAAATGTCAATGCAAGTCAATAAATAGCAGTAAACGTTTAAGCTAAACCAATCTTTTATTGAACATTGTCTACGAGAATGATCTTAAATTATTGAAATATTTTATTAATTATTAAGTAGTACCGATATTTACATTCACGAGAATATCCAGTGGGCTTAATATAATACCATTATTGTACCTGTACATAATTATTGTACCAGTATCAAATTCGAAATCAACATCTGGATAATTACCCTAAAAAGAGCAGCAAATTTGTATGTAACTGAATTAATAAACACACAGAAATAAAGTTGCAAACATGACTCACAGCAGCCAAAACAAACAACATGAAAAGTATCATAAATCAAAATACGGTATCGGCAAAATCGAAATGGCCGAACGGTATTCGCGAAATAAAGTGATACAAATGGTGGGTAAAATAATACGTATTGAATTAATACGTTTTGATACGAACAGCGTACACGGGTACCGTTGTTTATCGGTCGTGTATCAATAACGCATCAGCGCAACCATTTGACTGAATTCTCGCTGCCGTGTAAGACCAATATCTATTCTGATTTATTGTAATTACATTTTAAATGCACATTATTTCCATAAGCTTCATGTGCAGTAAGTCAATAGCACTGTTTTACTTTAAAGTTTTAACGCGAACGTATTCTAAAACTCCCGCTTATTTAAATGAACATTGAACACGCCTGCAGCTAGGTGGAGCGACGACATTGTACATAGGGTTGCGAGTAATAACTGGAAGAGAAGACCTGAAGATCGTTCCAGGTGGCGTGCCTTGGGAGAGGCCTATGTCCAGCAGTGGACTCCAGTGGGCTGATGATGATGATGATTGAGCATCTGAAATTCTTCTAAAATCTTTTCTTGCTTTACAAACATAGGCTGTATTACAAATGTCCACTGTCTAAACTTAGCACTATATTAGCTATGAATTTATATTCACTCAGGATAAGTAACAAATTATATTATAAGTATAGTTTATATTATTTCTCATGCCTAGATGTCGTAATACTTGGTCTTAATACGTCTTGCCCTTGCCGTTGGAAGAATTTAGAAAAAAATATTTATGTCTGGTACTCTACAGGAAAACTCCTGGCTTGAAAGAGAGACAGAGGGTCGAAAATGGATTGAGATAATAATGATGATAATATAATTCAACAAAATTATTTAAAAAAAACAATAGCTATAAATCGTTTGATACAACAGAAAGCTTACTACTATATTTGATCGAGTTCAAATTGCTTCAATACGCACAACCAATTTAATTTTGCTTCGGATTAAGCGCACATATTGAGATCGTAATATCTCCGGACCTCAGTTCGCGTACGGTAATGTATCTAGAGGGTACTTACGTTTATGTTGTCAGTGATATAAGATAGCATGTCTTTCCAATAAATTGGGGGAATTTTGTGGCGATTGTGGGAAGTTTTGGGGCTAATGTATTAGATTTGTTGAGGGAAAAATTGGAGAGACGGCATGTTTGTGGAAGACTAAACTAAAATTTGTTGAAATAAAAACAGAAATACAAAACAAAATCATCGTAATCGCGAATCGTTGAAGTAAAAAATACATAATAGACAAACTAAAAGAAATATACATACAAATTAATGGTAAATGGACACTGAGCAGTAAATTTTGCTACAAAATCAGTACAGTAGTAAAAAATATATAGATAATTAATAAATACGACGATGGTTTATAAAAAAATATCAATTATTCCACAATATGAAATCGTGACAATATAAGAGGGAGATGCAAGACGTCATCTGGCAACACTGTACGTTGCACTGCACGCGTGTAGATATTGGTTCTTGATTTATACGCAGTGTTGATGCTAGATACTTAGTTTTAGATTACGCTGGCATAAGACTATTAGTTTCATCTATTTTATACGATATTAATGTTGCTAGTATATTTTAATAGCTTCTATATTCATGTTTAGCTACACTTAATTAAGTAGGATATGTGATGTAAATACAGGGTTAGATATATAGTAGAATTAGGAGCGATAACTATAGAATATTAAAGACAAATTACTGCGTGTGGTATGCAGGCGTGTGTCTAAAATACTTTATAGAATGAAACGATATAACATATACATACATTTCTACGTACATATAAAAAGACGGAAGTTTAGTATATTAATAATTAGCGTAAATTAATTATTTCAATGGTTTAGTCATTTAGAACACTAGAATCGCCAACTATACAAATATTATTATTCATAAGAAATGATATAGGTCTAGCTTATATGGGTTTAAATATGTTTCTACGTTTACTAATATTTTTTTTATAAAATAATGTATATACGCTTACTATTAGCTTAGAATTACTTAAGTCTGTGTGAGTTAACAACACTTATTATTTCTTTTTATTAATTATTTCTTTGCCTAAACTTAATCTTATATTAATACTTTTAGCAACATCTAAATATACATAACTCAAAGGTGACTGACATAGTGTTCTATATCAGCCCAAATCACTGGACGGATCGGGCTGAAATTTGACATGCAGGTAGATGTTATGACGTAGGCATCCGCTAAGAAAGGATTTTGATTAATTCTACTCCCAAAGGGATAAAATAGGGGATGAAAGTTTGTATGAAACTTTTATAAAGTTTTAAACCGATCGGATTGAGACTTTGCATGCATAAATCTACTATGACGTAGGCATCCCCTAAGAAAGGATTTTGGTAAATTCCATTCCTAAGGGGATAAATTAACGCGAGCGAAGTCGCAGCCAAAATCTAGTTTTGTATTATATTCTTTATTGCACTTAAATACATTTTTAAGTACGTTAATGTTGTACACATTTAAAAAAAACACAGACGGATAGTATAAATTTTCGCTCACTTTAGTTAACCGAGAAAGAGTGCAAAATGCTAATATTTTTTTCTATTTATTCATTAATTAATAGAAAAAACATTACACACACTACCAGGTAGTTAACACAAAAACGCTTATATACTTTTTTGTTTAATTTGTTATTGCTGGTTAAAAAATTTTTTGTATGTCTTTTGTATTTTTTTATATTGTTTTTGTATTTCGATCACTTTGCGACTAATAGCTTAAATTATTATGTCATACCCGTTTTAATATGCACTCCTATATATAGGAAACTTGCGAAGTATTCGCTCTAATTCCTTAAAGAACTGTAGCAAACAGCGACTGTCCAGTTAGTTCAATATTACTACTCCTAAACCATTGTTTGCACACTCAAATGCAATATGTGACCCTAGATTTACAGTTAATACTGTATTAACTTGTTTGTAGTATCTAAATAGAACGTTATTATACAATTATTGCCTATAAATATATGATAAAAATAACCCTGGAAAATTCACCCAGCGACATCTAGTCCCGAACTAATTGGAGCTTGTATTATGGGTACTAGGCAACTGATATAAATACTTAGATATATTTTTATATTACATTACATCTTTACGTCGTATAAAATGAAGTCGCTTCAGCTGTCTGTTCTCTTAGATCTAATAAACTACGCAACGGATTTTAATGCAGTTTTTAGCAATAGATAGATTAATTCAAGAGAAAGGTTTCTATGTGTAATACATTCGTCTCACAGTATAGAACAAGCCGAGAAACTCAATGATTTTTAATGCACGTCGAGTCGCTAATAATATGTATAGAAAACACCCAGATCGAGATAATCGATTCCTTCCTCTATGCGAGCACTTGCAGTCATGAGTATGAATACTTATGAATGTGCTCGCATCGTGCTAGGAATCGAACTCGCGACCATTGGAAGTAAGGTGGTATACTAAACTGCTCGAACATTGAGGTCGTTAATATGGAAACGAATGTTTGTGTATAGAAATAAAAAATAATGTTCTAACTATATCTAAGTGCGTTGCTGCAGAACAAATGCATCTATTTGGATAATTCGGTCTTTATTATGGAAAAGGACGTATGCTTTTTATGAATATTGTTCTCGATGTCCCAGGTTGTAGCAAGTTGGTAAAGTATAATGAATACTAATGTTTGAAAATGTGTCTGTTTGTTTGTCGCTTTATTACTACTAAACGGCAGAACGTATGTTGATGAAATTTTATGTGGATATAGGTTGTATCACTAGGAGGGATATAGACTATATTTTGTCTCAAAAATCAATCCGGAATGGAGTGAAATGGTAGATAAAAAATTGTTCAGCAAAATCGGGGTTAACAACCAATATCCGCAGATCCCCAGACCTAGGCTGACCCTCTTGAGAAATTGCAGTACTAATAAGTAGGAACTTAACAATAATACCTTAGAACTAGCGTCAGCAACTCCGTGAACAACTTGCTTACATTGTTGGCAACCAGTTTGCACTTGACCCTCTGAGCGGAGTT